AAAACTAGACCTAAACTTTCAAAGCGACTTGCACCAGTCGATAGTATTCATCAAGGCACCCAACATATTGCAATATGAAGAAAATGCATGAAAGCGTTTTCCAAATATTACGCGATGAATATTTTCATGGACTTTTACTATTATTTCCAGCGTTTCCAGTTTTCGAGAAAACAAGCGGTAAACGATTTCTATGATGTCATCATTACGTCATAATGAAAAGGCCGCTTTAAACTAATTTATCATTTTTGAAACCTTTAATCCTTTCCTGACATTGTGTGAAAAGCGCTTGCAGATCGAGTTACTCAAGACGAAGTTGTAGCCGTTTCAATGCGGCTAGGCGTGCCAGACCAAAACTACCCTGAGCCTCCTTAATGCGATTTTTTTTCGACAGCCACAGCAAGAAACGTTTACAACAACCCAGCTTACGAGACCTATTGTTAGTCGAATCCCCGCAACCGAGGTCTGGGTAATCAGCTAAGCACTCAAATACACAAAATAATTGTTTTTAAAAGCCACAATATTTATGGATAATTGGTACACTCTATAAAATCTATCTAGTTGGGGCTATGGGAGTTTCGAAGGGGGTCACATTATCTTGTGACATTTACGGGGGGGGGGGGCTATTAAAAATATATTTGAATATACCGAATCGAAATATGGCGACCAATTTGAACAACTATTGTTCTGCGCTGACAAGCGACTGACTAGCCTCGTGTTCACGTGGAAACATCAAAGCATTTTCACATGTATGAGAGGCTAGTCAGTCGGTAGTCAGTGCAGAACAATAGTTATTCAAATTGGTCGCCATATTTCGATTCGGTGTATGATAGAGGCTTAAAGGCTTAAACTGCTTTTTAGATATAGTGAATAGTGGATTGTGAAAATATTTCGTCATTTTGAGTGTCGGGTCTTCAAGTGGTGAAGTTTAATATTTCCAATATATTAATGACTATGACATAACATTAGGAATTTGAGTTATTTTGTGGCAAATTTTAATGCTGAACGCTGGACATTTCTTTGAGAACAAATCTGCAAGAAACTTTATGTGAGTCACAAGTAAAAGGGTGATGCTTTTAAAATACTGTATTCCAGAACGAGAGCAGTGCTGCTTTTGTTTCGTTTGTATGTTGTTTGCATTTAGGGAGTTTTTTACGTAAGGCTAACCTCTAAACTTCCCTTCGGGGTGCTCTTTTATTCCTATTTTTTGCTGCGTGTTAAAGTGCACGCACTAAACCCGTGAATAATATTTAGTGCTAATTAGTAGTAATTCATACAGAATCCTTTGTTTCCTATTGTTTGATTATCACTATTTAGTACTAAAAATTAGAATTTGTTTCACGGGTTTAGTGGGAGCACTCTAGTTTTGCTTACGCTCTTACTATTTTATTGTATGTTACTGATTATTTGCGTCCTGAATAAACTACTATTTAAAATCACAAAAACAAAAGGTGATATCCCCCCCACCCCGTGGAATGCGATCTTCTCTGTTGAAGGTGTTAGGTGGTCAAAAGTTTGTCAAGTTAGTGATAAATTACTCGTGTTGCTCGTAGCAATGATTACACTTCCAGCTCAGTATGAGCTTCGCTGTTTAGTACCTGCTTGAAACTCATTGCAAACGGTTCGGGGCCATTCAGCTACTCTCAGATATAGTCGAAGTTTTTGATCTTCGTTCGTTCCTATTTGGTTGCCGCAGGTCGGCAGTAGTGCCGCCAGCGACACGCAATATGAAAAAGATCCGAAAGACTAGGAAGACAGACTTATGCTTGAAGCAGCGAACACTTTCGTAAGTAGAAACTATTTAGTAGTAAGTATGGTTAGACGAATACGTTTTTGGAAATATATTTCTTCTTATCTTGGATGTCTTAATGCGGGGACATTCCAGAGATTAAGGAAGCAAATTATCTCAGAACAAATTTGGTAATGTCCGTTGAATCTAAAACATGCATAGCTTTCCTCTAACATTTCCGTGTAAAAAAAGGTGAAAAAACATTGAGGAAACATTACGAGCAAGGTAAAGGGGTCTTCATTCCTTGACGTATCCACAGTATGCCATTGATTCATTCATTCAGTAAAGCGGGCAAGTCAGTACGCAGTGTATATACACCTCATCGAAATATGGCGACCAATTTGAATAACTATTATTCTGCACTAACTAGCGACGCGACTAGCCTCTCGTACATGTGAAAACACTTTTATGTTTCCACGTGAACGCGAGGCTAGTCAGTCGCTAGTCAGTGCAGAATAATAGTCCTCTTGTTAGTTCAACCAAGATGACGGCTGTTTCATTGTTATTCATATCTCAAGGGATTTTTCGGTCAGATGGCACTCCACGAATTTTTTCACAAAATTTCACTTACAAAAAACACCTTAAGGCAAGGGCTTTAGCCCTCCCTTCCCCCTCCCCTCCCTACCCCATTAAGGGAATCTTTTACAAGAAACCTCAACTCCGTGAAGCTTTGCTCTACCCTTTAGAAGCCGCCGTGAATGGGGACCCCGCTCTTATTTTAAAACTGCATCTCCACAGATTTGGAATTTCAGCTTCTATTTTGGCCTTGAAGGTTGAATTTAGACAAATCTCCCCACTCCTCCTCCCCCCCAAGATTGACAAAACCATATATTACGTTGAACGATGACTTTAAGCGTTTGTTTCATGCTAATTAAGTATGTTTAATCTTTAAAGTAAACTATTGTAGGTTTCCATTTTTACCACATCGGTTTGGGTTTTGCTCTTAAAACGGTTCAATCGCCGCATCTGAAAGAAAAAGAGATTCATTAGCGAGTTCTGAAGGATCGATGATCATTGACACGAATATAATGATTTCAATCATTCTAAAAATATATACACCTTATTGCGAGACTAGAGAAAAACGCGTGCGAGCATTTCAGCACGTTTTCAAAGAATTTTGAATAGTTTGAGTGAGAAAATAAATGTTTGTTTTCTCCAAGTATACAAAAAAGTTCTAGAGTATACTTTTGTCAGACCAAGATACTGTATTAACAAACACAATATGAAAGAATTAGCCTTAAGTTTCAAACATGGACACTAAGTTTTAGCATTTTGTGAAGTCCAATTTATCAGGCATGTTTGAAAGTCAAATTTACATAGGTTTTGACTAATTTGCATAAGGATTCAGAGCATGCGCAGACGTTTTTCACTCGTGTCCCTCATTGCAAGAAAGTTGTATAAAAATAACAAATAACAAATAATGTTTATTTTGATTTTGATTTTTAAGCCCAATAGATTGATGAGAATAACTGTTTTGGTATATTCTAACAAGGAAATATTAAAAACGGCAACCTATATCTTTAAAAGACAATAACGATTACACCAGTTTTGCTTCAAAAATTATTCATTCCTATCTGTTATTTTTCATTTTTCATATGACGACGTTTTTGCTATTAATTAGGTGTATATAATTTAAGATATATATAATATAATCTATAAGTGTTAGATATCTTAAATTAATTGATTAAATACTAAAAATATTTAAAACTACGCAGGTTGCTAATTCACAGGCATAACTATATTGTGTGTTCGATACATACCATTGTTTCTCGATAGGAGAATCTCCTGGGAAAACAATCTCTGTATATAAGAAAAGGGAATTAAATTCCGATAAATTTTTGTAGTGAATGCCAATAACTGATCTTCCAGAACAGAATACCCACCTCGATATCCCAAGCATGTCTCTAGGCATTCCTTCATAGTACTGAAGTTGTTAGCATTTCCTCCACATCCACCGTAAATAAACCCTTCGCATCTTCGTGTCTTGGAATCATAGTAGAATCTGTGGAAACGTGCACGACAACGGCCTACAACCTTTGGCAACAGACAGATGCTATCTATTCCGTAGGATACATCTGGAAAAACGAAGATATATGAATATATGAATAAGGAAGGTAAGAGAGAAAATAAAGGAACGAATAGATGGATGGATGGATGGATGGA